TATGTATAGGGGGGATATTTAAGTTTACTCTCTTTTTCTCTCAGTAGAAGCAGAAAGATTATTTCATGCAGCCTAAAAAATATTAAAATACACTTCAATGAATCGTATCATACTGAGATGCTTTATTGCTTGAAAACATGTATTTGAATTAATAATTAGTAACAAATGTATTGTCATATCTTGCTTTGTCTGCTGTTACCATAGCAGAGCGTTCGGCCTGAATGCTGTGTTTGGGGTGGGGTGTGGAGATGGGTAAGGGGGGTGAGGGGGTGCAAATGGATAAATGCATCCTGAGCTGAGCGGGAAGGATAAAAGGATAAAATGATAGGCAAGAGAAAAAAGAGGGTGAGAAGGGATGGATGAAGCAGTCAATTAATCTGAAATGGAGAAAAAAGGGGATGGAGAATGATGAAAGTAAAGTGAAAGTAGCATTGAGAGGAGGACGCCCAAAGATGGTGAGGGACAGGCAGCGGGATATCAACAAGAGAGGGACGCAGACACAGAGACTGATGAAAGATGTTGTGCTGCAGAGGAATCAAAGCAGCAGACTGACATCAGAGCTGCGGAAAAGAAGGACAAAAATATAAAGCATGTGTAATAAATCCCATCCATCTTTAAGGTTGGCTGTCGCTGGTACATTTGCAGATTTGTGCGTCATTGTTTTTAATGACTCCATAGCAGGGAGCTGTGTGCACATTTTTTCCAGAAAGCTTGTTTCTTTATCACTTAGCTTCAGGTGCTTCGGTGACTCAGTGGTCTGGATTTTGAGTGGTGACAGTTTTTGTTCACCAAGCACCAACCTGCCAACCCATAATAACAGTTTGTAGGTTACGCTGTGGTTGCCATGGAGTCTCCAGGGGTGACGGGCAGAGAATAGAGCACGGTTTCCTTAATTAGAGGAGATTGCGCATGATTAGACCGAGGCAGGGCCAAAAGAACAGAGGGCGCGCGCACACACACACACACACACACACACACACACACACACACACACACACACACACACACACACACACACACACTCACAGTAATAGTGAGGTGTTGCAGGGCGCAGGTAACAGACAGTGAGTGTCAAGCATCCGCAGTCAGTCAGTCCGCATTGGTAGATATTTATCATCATGTCATACTGCCAGTATTTCTAGGTGTATACTAAGTTGTACCCCCATTAACATTTACAAAGGTTTCATTAGTGGTGGGATGCAGTGAAGGCAGGTTGTGCAACCAAACAGAGAAACAAAGAAGAATGTCTTTATTATTAATGCACTCACTCTACTTTAAATCATGTTTAATTTCATTACCTGGTACTTTGTGATATCCTTGTACATTTACTTCTTTACTACAAAAACCACTGTGTTTACATTGCATTCTTGCTCTCGGGCTGCATACAGCTCCAACAACCTGCAGCAGTGAGACAGGGCAGTCTCTGCAGCACTGGCTCTCAACCTGAAAAATCAGGCCCAACACGAGAAGCAGTTTTGGTCCCGAGCCCGACCTGAACGAGAATTTCTGCTTAAAATAAATAATTGTAATAGTTTATTAAGACCTAAAGTAAACTACATTGTGCATATAATACAGTGCAAATACTTAAAAACTAACTTTGCAAACTAACTTAAAACTAATAACAAATTCACTCATAAATTACATTTGCATGCATTATTAATAAAATATTAAATATATTTGTTTTTTAAAGTCTAATTCTGTCCAAGCCCCACCTACTACAGCAGTTTTGGGCCCGAACCTGGCAGAGAATCACGGCTATAAATGTCCGTTTGTCTGTCCTGGGAGAGGGATCCTTCCTCTGTGGCTCTTCCCAAGGTTTCTTCCATTTTTTACCTGTTAAAAGTTACTTTTTACCTGAATTGAGGCTCTAAGCACAGAGAGTGTTGAATGTTGTACACATTGTAAAACCTCTTGAGGCATATTTGGGATTATGGGCTATTTTTTATAAAATTTGGCCTGATTTGACTTGTACCTCTCTGGCAGGGGAGGAGCTGGATCTAGTACAGGTTCAGTGATAGTGATAGTGCAGTCAGTTGAGATGGTTCAGGCAGTGTTTCTGTGTTTGCATGTGTTTTTTTTGCAGTCATATGTGTGGTCAAAGTGGTAAAGATGTTTTCTTCATCTGATTGAGTTTTTGCCACTTTTTACTGTTACTGAGCAGATTTTTCATTTTAATTTGACTCTGTAGGGATTTCTTTTGATTATAATGTATTGGCATTATGATAACTTGTGCTCTCATTTGTACCCCTCTGCGTACTGGGTACAATGTAATCTCATTTATTAGTGTAGTGTTAACTGTGATGGAAAAAATATAGTCCTTTTCTTCCTTGATAATGAACAACGTGAATGAAAATAAATACATAAAATAAATAATACACAAGTATTACAAGAAGAGAAATGTTTAACCTTTTCCCGCAATATATTTGAACCAGTGTGTGATACAGCACACAGGTGTTGTGATTTATTGCCTGATAAAAGCCGAATGTTCCCCGTAGAACACATCACATTTAAAAGAAAAACATCAGATATCCAAGCTCTCCTCTGGCTGTGTAAATGTTTTTTTCTTCATTTAACCTCAGTAAAACAGGTTCTCATTTCATTGTACATGAAAATGCTTATCATACTGCGATGACAAAGGAGCTTTGGGAAGTGTAAAAGCTTAAGTGAAAGCAATTTGGTCTGACAGACAATTCTTTTCTTTGTGCCATTTGGTTTGCACACAAGCACACATCCTGCATGTGAAATCATGTGCTCTATAACAGTATAGATACTTACAGATACACACATACACATTGTTGATTGTTGTTTTATCTACTTTATTTCTCGCTATTACTTTTGACACACACATACACACACACACACACACACACACACACACACACACACACACACACACAGAAATGCAACAATTGTCACTCCAGCACAGTGAGGCAGCCATTGTTCACTTCCTCCCTTTGTGTGGTGAATTACGAGATCATCTCTGAAAATACTTTCTTATTGTTCAGATTTAAGTGCACATCTGTCCATCATTGTAGACTAGTTGAAAGTTAGCTGAAAAGCATTAGAAAGCCATTAGGAGAAAATCACCATCCAGGATACAGCAAGTTGCCGACATTGCACTTTGTCACTTTGATGCAGACACACACGCCTACACGCCTACACGGCCACACACACACACACACACACACACACACACACACACACACACACACAGACACACAGGCTGGAGACTTATTAACTTCATATTTTCCTTGTCCTTGTAATCCTTGATTTATTAAACTTTTATTTTTCTTTAAGGTAATTTGGACAGGATGGTAGATTTTATACCTGCGCTGACATTTAGAATGCACCTATAAAATGACAATACAATTTGCAATTTGTCTCATTTATTCAGCTAGAAGATAGGTTCTCCCTTCCCACAACACATTTCTTCCATTACTTGCAGATTAAGGATTATGTCTGTCAGAGTGTACCTTACGTCTTCCTCTTAGAAAGAATAATCTACAACCTTTTGTTGGGCCCACCTCTAATCCAAAAAACTGGTCTTATACTTTGTAAATATATTCTCTGAACAAGTGAATTATGCCACATGCTCTCTGAAAAATGTGTGGTTGGAGGGACTAGGAGCACAGATTGGGGATGAAGTTTGGGAGGGGCTTAGCAGGACCCAATCTTGTTCCATCAATGCCAGACATCAGTTAATCTAATTTACAATTATGCACAGGCTTCATTATTTAAAGACCAAATTGCATATAATTCCTCCTACCATTTCCTCTCTATATATCAATCCACAGAAGACTCTCTGACCCACCTTTTCTAGACGATGAAGTCTACAGACTTTGGTGACTTTTCGTCCGGCATGGCCATCAATTCAAAATGTCCATTTGTTCCATACTTTGTTCTTTACAACGACCTTTACAGCCTCAAAGAGCCATTAACACAGACTCTCTTTAGTAGGCATCATGGAGGCGATCTTACTAAAAACCAATTAAAAGTCATTACAGGGACTATGATTCCACACTGGTGAAAATACGAATGAGGCTAAATGGAAGTATTCAGTAGAAAACTGCTATTTATAGATAACTCATTACACCAGCCGTGCTTACATTGAGGTACGTGTTGCCCTTTGCAATTACAGTGCTCACTGAGCTCCCAGGTGATTTGACTTTTTTTTTTACAAGCTGAGGAGTGAGTGGTTTTTTTTCTCGATTCCCGCCTCACCCTGCCTCTCCATGTGCACGCTGCTTCACGCGCTGAAATTGCTGCGTCATTTATTTTATGTACAACGGTAGAATTGGATTTACGCACTCGTAACTGCTGAACTGCGCGGCACTCACACTCGTGTTGAGCTGCATCCCGAGTGACAGATTTATTATTGCTTTATTCTTCACAGTTTAAGTCACAGCTCTGTGGATCTGTCATCTGTCTGGGTGACAGAGACACTCACCCTCTCTCCCTCTCAGTCCCCTCTCTCTCTCTTGCTCTTCCTTCCACAGATTTAAATTGTCACACCTCTGAGTGCTGATGGGCTGTTAATCCTTACACTGCTACTTCCCCCCCCCCCTCTCCCTTCGTATCCCCTTCTCCCTCGTGTTTCCTCCCCCAGTGTTTCTGCAGGAGCGCCCTGTTTGCTTGCTCAGCATTTTCCTGCTCTCCCTTTCCCTTGCTCCTCTGTATATTCTAATGACACTGCAGTTGTTGTTTGCGTGTGTCCTTGTGAAAAGAAAAGAAATAATTTGAGGGTCATCTGGAAGTTTCTCAGACCTGTGCATAAATATTGCAAACTGTTTGGATGAGACATTAAAGCTGGAGAGCTTAGCACGACAAAAGGGCGCTGTGATGCATCACTTTGTCTGACTTTTTGAAGAGGTGTTGGCAACGTTTTTCCTCCATTCACCTCACATTAACCTGACCACAAGCTTTAGAGCAAATGTCTATTGACTACGCTGTTGCACCAATAGGGCGAATGTTAATATACAGTGTTGCTTGTCTCTCTGCAGATGGAAAGGTGTATGCGTTTGGAGGCATGGGGGCCGACACAACGCCACAGGCCCTGGTGAGGGTTTATGAAGCAGAGAAGGACCAATGGCAGCCGCTGACCTCCATGCCAACGCCGCGGTACGGAGCCACGCCCTTCCTAAGAGGAAACAAAATCTACTTGATGGGTAGGAAACAAGATTTGAGATCATCTACCTTCTCTCTTTTTACATTTTTATTTCTCTGTGTTTGTCTGTATCCCAGTGGTTCCCAGACTTTTTTAAACCATGGTGACCTTTCACAGTGACTCTGTCCCCTACTGCCACTGGAATAAATGCACAAAAACACAGTAGTATCCAAGGTGATGGAAGATTACAGACATAGATCTTTGACAGACTTTATTTTTATATGATGTGATATAATATCATATGATATGCAGATCTGGCTATATTTCCATAAACGTGGATACCATTGGATCTTTTTAGATACAGGTGCTTTTTGTCCAGTGTCCAGGCATATTTGTTGACTTTTGATAAACTAATAAAAAAATAAAATAAAATAAATGTAGAATATGTTAGCTAAAATCAATCTTAAGTGAAATAATATGTGCCCATCCTCAATCACTCAGAAGAAAGAAGTGATCATTATTTTGTGTGTGTTTCGCTGTATATGTTGATGTACAGATTTGCAGATACTCAGCTTAAAATAAGCAATTAATACAAATTAAGTTAGCTAATGTATTTCTTTCTTTTTGTCTTAAGGTAAAATTAGAATATGTATATATAATTTGTTTTTAGCCTCACACAAGCAGTCAGACGATCCACCACTTTGGTCCAGACTGAAATATCTCAACAACTATTGAATAGACTGTTTTTTGGTTTAGATATTCAGAAAATGAATCCTAAAGACTTTGGTGATCCCCTGACTTTTGATCCAGCGCCACCAGCAGGTCAAAGTTTTAATTTATTCAAAGATATATCTCAACATCTTCCAGACGGAGGGGCACAAAATTGGTTCCCAAAAAGGTACTAACATTGAATTCAATTCAATTCAATTTTATTTGTATAGCGCCAATTCATAACAGAAGTTATCTCAGGACACTTTTCAAATAGAGCAGGTCTAGACCGAACTCCTTATAACATTGGTGATCCCCATAGTTTTCCTTTAGGCTAGGGCCAACATGACATTTTACAGTGAAATGTCTTGACATTGGATGGGTTGCCATTAAATTTGGCTGCCCTTAACTTTAATGATCTCTTCACTTTTCATCTCACACCATCATCAGGTCAACATTTCAATTTCTCGAGTACTAATAATAGTTTATGACTAAATACCTGCAAAACCGATCAGATGCCGATCAGCCTCAGCTGTATGTTGTTTAATGCTAATTACTACATGTTAGCATGCAAACACACTTAACTAAGATTGTGAACATGGTAAACAGTATATCTGCTAACAACAGCATGTTAGCATTGTTACTGTGAGCATTATGCATTCATGTTTAGCTTAAATTACTGCTGTACCCAAGTTCAGACTCACAGAAACAACACTTGCATGGCTGTAGATGTTTACTCTTCTTTGAAAACACACAAAGAAAATTAGTTATTTGGTTCAGAAAGAAAAATGTTGATCAGTGTTTCCCAAAGCCCAAGGTGACGTCCTATAATGCCTTGTTCTGTCCACAACCCAGACATATTCAGTTTACTGTCATAGAGGACTAATGAAACCAGAAAATATTCACATTTGAGACAAGATTCAAGATTCAAGAAGCTTTATTTATCCCGAGGGAAATTATTGTACAACAGTTTCAATACAAAGGTGGTAAAGTAAAGTACTACAGGGTTAGAGTAAAAATAAGCTAACATAAAATAAAATAAAATAAAGGCTAACATAAAATAAATCAAACAATTAACTAAATGCATCAAAATGCAAGCACTTACTGGTAACATAAGTAGAAAAGAAGAAAACAAGTAACTAAATGTGACAAAGTGCAACAAAAATTTCAGTTAAACGTAGATACAATATACAACAATACGCACCGTGCAGTTTAGCAGCATAAATTGAAATAAAATAAGTACAAACCAAATAAGCGATAAGGAGCGATTGGATAAAGTGGTAACAGTGGTAACAGTGGTAAAAGTGATAAAAATTGTAGCAGCATTTGTTATCAGCATAAATTAACTATGGTACAGTACAACTAAATAAAGTGATGAAGTGAAAATTGGGTAAAAAATGGTAAAGTGACATTTGCTCAGGGCACAGTGTCTCCATGAGTTATATAGTCTGATGGCCACAGGAAGAAAAGACTTCCTCTGGCGTTCTGTGTTACATCGGGGGGGAATGAGTCTGTTGCTGAAGGTGCTTCTGCTCGAGGTTAGCACCTGGTGGAGAGGGTGAGCGTTGTTGTCCAGGATACTGTGCAGTTTACACAGCATCCTCCTCTCAGACACCACCACCAAAGAGTCCAGTTGGACCTCCAGGACAAAGCCAGCCTTCCTGGTGATCCTGCTGATCTCCTTGGCGTCTGCTGCCCTCAGCCTGCTGCCCCAGCACACAACAGCAAAGAAGATGGCACTGGCTACCACCGACTGGTAGAACATCCTCAGCACAATGTTACATACGTTGAATGACCGGAGCCTCCTCAGGAAATAGAGTCGACTCTGGCCCTTCGTGTAAACAGCCTCAGTGTTCCCAGTTCAGTTTGTTATCCAGGTATACTCCAAGGTATTTGTAATCCTGGACAACATCCACAGTCACACCGGTGATGGAGATGGTCAAGTTGAGGACCAAGATGTCTCAGCTTTGAGCTCTATTTACAGTGATAAATCTCTGGCAGTCGACATTTCTGACTGAAACGCTGGAAAGTTTGTTGTGTTACTACGACAACCGTAACCACAAGCGGTCGTTACCATACTTGGCTACGGCAAAACCCCATATTCAACAGGGTTTTTAATATTGTTTAATTGTATGTGTATTGCTTATTTCAATCTTAACTGTAGCTAATGTACATTGACTATTAAATCTAATATTAAACATGTTGAGGCAAAAAAAGGAAATTAACAAATCTTGCAGCACTCTTTGGACGTTTTCTTAAAGCACCCTTGGGAACCATCTGCCACTGCTTATATCTGTCACTTCCTTCTTACACATTGACCCACAGTCTCTCTGACATCCTCTGAGAGCTCAGTTTAGGGATTATGTACAGTGGCGAGTGTTCAATCACTTTCTGAAGGACATTGAAAGCTGGTGATGGATGACATCCTCAGGCTTTGGTGTTGTGGGACCATTTGCAACCTTTAGGCTTCAGTGATGTGCACACTTAATGCTTATAAAGGGACTCCCCCCTAAAAGTTGTAGTTGTGCTGATGGTGCCCCCGTGTTCTGCTTTGTTGCTCTTTAACTGCGCACACACACACCTCCTGAACCGTGTGTGTAGAGATCTGCGAGCATTGCACTGTTTTCAGCCTAAGCCTTTTAGCTTTGTGACTTTATCTGCCTGCTGCTTTTAGAGCGGTGAAAGGAATAGACAGAAACACTCTCTTCCATCAGAGTCTCTCGAGGGTCGAGGAGTCTCACAGTCTTGGTACAACACTGATCAGAAGGACAGAGTTGGAGTTAAAAGCTGCTAAATGCTGATGAAAAAATAGGAATGTGCGTTCAGTCCAATCCCGTGTTCTTTCCATCATCCAGTAATTTTCCATCCATGATCAGAGGTTGCATTTGTTCTCATTGTGTCTCTTTGGGGGGCTGTTATTGCTCATTGACACTTGGTCAAAATCTTCACACGACTGCTGATAGAGGCATCATTTTATCTCACTGAAGAGGCATTTTGCAATAAGATGAATCCATTTCACGACATGTTACAAGCAACAACACAGTTCACATTCAGCACAAAGTAGCTGTAACCTCCTGAGAGCAGGAGCTTTGGTCATTTCCATAGCAATGTTTTTACTCACACGCTCCACCAGAGGGATAAAATAACTCTTTGCTTCTGTGCAGTGGCAGAGAGAGCTCAGCACACAGTCCCTCCATTTGATGCTGCTCTACACTCCACTGTCTCAGAAGGAAATGTTGTACTTTGTACTAAACTACATTTATCTCACAACTGTTGTTACTTTGCAGATAAGATTTAACATTACATTAAAATGCTTATCGGATGTAATAATAATCAAATAATAAATATTTTTTTTGGCATAATGAGTAAGGGGCCGATCACACAGAGATGCACGAGCGCGGCTGCCTCAAAACCAGCTGGTGCGCCTGTGAAGCAGAGCTGCATGCCAGTCGCTACAACCAGGCGATGAAATGTCATCACAGAAAAAAAGTGGATTCAGGCAGACCTTTTTTTACTGGCATAGGAAATGGCATCAAACAGTAAGAAACAGTTCTGCAGGCGACGTGTTTGTGGCGGTGTAAATTTAGCTTATAATTGTTCCGTACTACATAAAGAAGCAGTGTATAGAATTTAGTGGCATCTATAATAATAATAATAATACATTTTATTTATAAGCGCTTTTCTAAATACTCAAAGACACTTTACATAAAAACATAAAAGCAGCAAAACAACATCAAATAGTAAAACATTAAAAACACATCAGACTAAGCTAAACATTAAAAGCAATTTTAAAAAGGTTGTTGGATGTTGGAGGGTCGGTACAGTCACGGATGTGTTTGGGGAGAGAGTTCCAGAGGGAGGGGGCAGCTACAGAGAACGCTCTGTTGCCCAAGGTTTGGTGCTTGGTCCGGGGTGGAGGAGTCAGAAGGTTTGCTTCAGATGAGCGGAGGCTGTGGGATGGATTGCGGCAATGGAGCAGGTCAGTGAGGTAGGAAGGAGCCTGGTTATGGAGGGCTTTGTGTGTAAGGAGGAGGATTTTGAACTGAATGCGCTGTGGAACTGGGAGCCAGTGGAGGTTCTGGAGGATGGGAGTGATGTGATCACAGGTGCGGGTGTGGGTGAGCATATGTGCAGCGGAGTTTTGGATGTACTGTAGCGTATTTAGAGTTTTGGATGGTGTGCCATAGAGGATGCTGTTGCAGTAGTCGATTCTGGAGGTGATGAAGGCGTGGATGAGGGTTTCAGCGGCAGAGAAGGAGAGTGATGGGTGAAGACGGGCAATGTTCTTGAGATGAAAGAAGGCAGTTCTGGTGATTTGGTTTATGTGATGTTCATAGGAGAGGTTATTGTCAA